AGGATGTTTTTAAAGCAACAGAAGATTTTTAAAAATTATTTGTTTTGTTAAGTTCACACCAAAATTGAGGGGAAAGTGTAAAGTGTTTCTGTATTTCCTCTGTTCCCCTACACTATAGCCTCCTTCACTATCCCCTCCCACAGTGGTGCTCTGCTCCAGTCAGTGAACCTGCATTGACCCATGATCACCTCAGTGTCCTTAGTCTACATTAGGCTTCACTGGGTGTTATACATTCTGTGTGTTTGGATGAATGTTTAATGACATGTATCCACCATATAGTATCCTGGAGAATAGTTTCACTGTTCTAAAATCCTCTTGTGCTCTGCCTATTAATCCCTCTCCCCTCCACCCCCACCCCTGTCAAGTACTAGTCCTTTTACTGTCTCCTATGCCTTTTCCAGCATGTAATGTAGGTGGAGCCATATAGTATGTACCGCTTTCAGAATGTCTTTCATATAATATGCACTTATGATTTCTACATTCCTTTTCATGCCCTGATGGCTTTTTTTTTTTTTTTCCCCTAAAGCACTAAATAGTCTATTTTCTGGAGCACCACAGTTTTATATGTTTTCCTAATTAAGGACATTTTTGTTGCTGTCAAGTTTTGCCCATTATGAATAAAACTGCTATAGACACCCGTGTGAAGGTTTCTCTGTTGACATAAATTTTCAGCTCATTTGGGCGTAATTGCGGGATAGTATAAGCAAGAGTATCTTTAGTTTTGTGAGAAACTGTCACACTGTCTTCCAAAGTGGCTGTACCATTTCACATTTCCCCGAGAGTTCCTGTTGCTTCACATTCTCACCAGCATTTGGTGGTGTCAGTGTTTTGGGTTTCCCCCGATCTAATAGGTGTGTAATGGTGTCTCATTGTTTTAATTTACAATTCCCTAACATATGGTACTGAGCTTCTGCTCGTGCTTATTTACCATCTGTCTATCGTCTTTGATGAGCTATTTGTTCAGATCTTTGGCCATTTTGTGTGTTTCTTATCAGTTTGTTTCTTATTGTTGATGTTGAAATTCTTTGTATATTTTAGACTAGTCTTTTATAGATACATCTTTGCAAGTGTTTTCTCCCAGCCTATGGCTTGTCTTCTCATTCTTTTGATGAAGAGATTTTTAAAAAGAATGTTCAGTTCATTTATTGGGCTCTGCTGGACACTGAAGTGGAGGCAAGGATTATAGTAGTAAGCGAATGAGACTTGGCCCCTAAAATAAGTGGGGAAGACAGGACAATCAGGTGACTATAGTCAAACATGTTAAGTGCTATAATGAAGACGATTCACAGTACTGTGTTGTTGCTAGCATGTTAATTAGCCTGAAAAAGATCCAGAGGAGGCTTTATTTGTAACTGACTCTATCAAGCCTTTATTCCAGGTACTGGTCTAAGAGCTTTACATTTACTAGTTTAATCCTTACAACTCTGAGGTGGTTATTACTGTTATTGTCATCTATGTTTTATAGTCAGGGGCCCTGAGGCACAGAGAAGTAGTGATGCACACGGGAGTCACACCCAGGCAGAGTGTATCCAGAGCCTGAACTCTTCACCGCTCTGTACCAAGGCTTCTTGGAAGGATTGGCATCTAAACAAAATTTAAGGATGATTAACTGGAAGCTAATTAGGTCACAATGGAAGAAGTGTGTGAAGACTTGAGGTGAAAGAGAACAGGGCAAATTCAAGTGTCTGAAAAAAGGTATAAATGGAGTGAGGAATATATGGAAGGTAGAGCAGGCCATAAAGTAAGTGCTTGATAAGCCAACCTAAGGAACCTGGTTTACCATATCCTACGGGGCAGGAAGCAATGGGAGTGTGTGTGTGTGTGTGTGTGTGTGTGTGAGAGAGAGAGAGAGAGAGAGAGAGAGAGAGAGGGAAGGAGGGAGGGAGGGAGGGAGGGAGGGAGGGAGGGAGGGAGAGGGAGAGAGAAATTGTGCAAATGTATATTCCCCTCAACAGTGTACAAGTGTTCCCTTTCCTCCACATGCTTGGTAACACTTGTTATTTCTTAAGGATATCATGTTCTCTTATGGGGAGGATAATATAATTAAAATGACTGTCTTGTCTAAAGTAATAGATGCATTTAACACATTACCCATTCAAAAAATCAGCAGTATTTTTCAAAGAAATTAAACAAAAAAATACTGAAATTTGTATGGAATCACAAAAGACCTTGGATTGCAGAGCCACCCTAAGGAAACAAGAGAGCAATGGAGACCCCACGTTACCATGGAGAGATGAGGTATCATGTTACCCAACCTCCAACTTGACTGTCAAGCAGCAGCATTAAGAACAATATGGTATTGAGAAGAGAAATAGAGGCATGAATCAATGGAATAGGATTGAAAGCCCAGAAATAAAACCAGGCACATACCAGGACCTCATTATGATGCAGCAGATATGACCATACTGTGGCGAAAGAGCAGCTCTTCCACAATGATGCTGGGAACATTGGAAATCCACATATAAAGTGGAAGAGGTGTTCTGCTCAAGAGGGAATAATGTGAAGGCTGATTGCATACACAAACTCCAAATGGATTAAAGATTTATATAAAAGAAAACATAGGTGATATGTTCCATGACATCAATGATAAAGATATTTTTGATGTTGCAACTCCTTGTCAAGGGAAATAAAAATAATTGGGATTGCCTCATATTAAAAAGCTCTATTCAGGAACTCCTTGGTGGTGCAGGGGTTGAAGTCACAGCGCTATCAAGCCATAGCCAGCCACTGTGACACGAGTTCGATCCCCAGCCAGGGAGCAACCCACATGGCACAGCAGACCTCTCCTGTCTTGCCTGCTGCTGCCCTCAGCAGTGTGCTTTAGTCAATTTGCCTGTTCTGCTCCCCACTCTGTCTCTGGTGACTCCTCTTACCCTCTGCACCTCTGGCCTACATCCCAGTTCTTGTATGCAAAAAAAAAAAAAAAAAATTTTTTTTAAATTAAAAACACTATTTAGTCAAAGAAAACACCACATTAAAATGACACCCTATTGTGTGGGAGGAAATAGTTACATAATATATAATTGATAAGGGATTAATAGCCAAGATATATAGAAAATGCAATTCAACAATAAATAGCAAACAACCCTGGGCCTCTCCTGGTGGCGCAGGTGGTTGAGTGCAGCGCTTTGAAGCTGTCTGCAGCCTCTGCAGTGTTGGTTTGATGCTGGCCGGCAGGCAAGGGTCCCACATGGCGCGGCAGACCTCTCCTGTCACGTGCGCTGCTCCCCTCAGCAGTGTATTTCATCAGTCTGCCTGTTCTGTTCCCTGCTCTGTCTCTGGTGAATCCTCTCCCCATCCTGTGCATCTGGTCTGTACCCCGGTTCTTGCATAAATAAATAAATGAATGAATGAATGAATGAATGAATGAATGAATGAATAAATAAATAAATCTTTACCAAAAAAAAAAAATAGCCAACAACCCAGTTAATATGCAGCAGATAGGAATAGGCAGTATACCAAAGAGGATATCCAGAAGACCAATAGACATATGAAAAAATGTTCATCACTTCCAGTTAGGGAGATGCAGATTAAAACCATAGTGATATACCAGCTCACTCATCTGAAAATGGCACATATTTAAAAAACCTCCAACAAATACTGGAACGAATGGGGTGAAGAAAGAGTCTATTATGCTGTTGGTGGGATTGTAAACTAGTGCAACCATTATGGAATGTAATCTGGATTTACCTAAACAAACTAAAAATGGAAAACTGTATGTATAATCTGACTATCCCACTGTTGGGCAGCTATCCAAAGAATATGAAACCATCAACACAGGTTTTTTGTGTTGATGGTTTCGTATTGCACAGTATTTATAGCAGCATCATTACAATAACGAGGACATGGAAGCAGCCTAGTTATGGTGTACATGCACAAAAACCAACTCAAAATGGATCAAAAAATTAGATGTAAGACCTGAAACCAGAAAGTATATAGGCAAAAATATAGGTAAAACACTCTATGACAATACATCTCAGAAATATCTTTAAAGACTCACCCCCTGAAGCAAAGGAGCTGAAGGAAAAGGCAAACAGCTGGGATTACATCCAGCTAAAAAGCTTTTGTGCAGAAATAGAGACAGTAATCAGAACAAAGAGACACCCCCTGATTGGGAGAAAATACATACATTCCATGCAGCTGATAAGGGAGTGATCACAAAGATCGACAAAGGCCTCACACAATTCAACAAAAACAAAACAGACAGTCCAGTCAAGAAATGGGCAAAGAGCTAAAAGGACACCTTTCTAAAGAGGAAATGCAAATGGCCAACAGGCATATGAAAAAATGCTCAACATCACTTATAATCAGGGAAATGCAAATGAAAACCACAATGAGATACCATCTTACACCAGTGAGAATGGCATATCAAAAAAACTAGCAACAACAAATGTTGGCGAGGATGTGGAGAAAAAGTATTCCCACCACTGCTAGTGGGTATACAGACTGGTCCAGCCACTATGGAAAGCTGTGTGTAGTTTCATCAAAATATTAAAAATGGGGCCTCCCCGGTGGCTCAGCGGTTGAGCGCTGGGCTGCGAAGCTGCCAGCAGCCTCTGCAGTGCTGGTTCGATCCCCGGCCACTGGCAAGGGTCCCACATGGTGCGCAGACCTCTCCTGCCACGCCCGCTGCTCCCCTCAGCAGTATACTACTTCGGTCTGCCTGTTCTGTTCCCCTCTCTGGCTCTGGTGAATTCTCTCACCCTCCTGCGCTTCTGACTGTACCCAGTGCTTGTATAAATAAATAAATCTTTAAAAAATATATTAAAAATGGAGCTACCATATGACCCAGCAATTCCACTCCTAGGAATCTACCCAAAGGACACAAAAACATTAATTCAAAAGGAAACCTGTATTCATATGTTTATTGCAGCACTATTTACGATAGTTAAGATATGGAAACAACCTAAATGCCCCCAAACAGATGACTGGATCAAGATGATGTGGAATATATACCAATAGAATACTATTCAGCAATCAAAAAAGGTAAACTCATGCCATTCACAGCAACATGGATGGAGCTTGAAGGGATTGTGCTCAGTGAAATAAGTCAGAAGGTAAGAAAAATACCTGATGATATCACTTATAGGAGGAATATAGGGGAACCAAATAAGTGATTAGTCAAAAAAAAATAAACTAGCAGGAAACTATAAATCGGAAACATGCAGCAAGGGAGGTGTGGGGGGGATTAAAACTGATGGGAAGAGAACAGGAGACTATGGTGATGTTATGGGTGACTTGGTGATGGGAGTTCTACAGGGACTGTACCTGAGAGGAGAAATCAAACATTGTACAAAATGAACACTGATGTAAAAACTATATATATGTGTGTGCGTGTGTGTGTAAATATTTTAGAAAATTGTGGTGTACTCTTTGGTCATAAGAGGAGGTGAACTGCAGCCATTTTCAACAAAATAGAGTTTGAGAGAATTATGTGTAAATAAAGCAAATTAGTTGATAAAAACAAATATTGGACATTTGCAAAGCAGAGAATTCCATAGCATAAAATCCTTCCAGAAATCAGTGAACATCGGTAAACATCATGAGGGCTCTGGGGTTGAGAGTGAGGGGGAGGGAGGCAAAGGAATAAGGCAGTAGAAGAGATGCTGGGGAAAAAACTGCAACACCCCACTTGTTATTTCTTAAATTTTTGATAATAACTGTTCTAATGGGTGTCAGGAAACATTTCATTGTGATTTTGATTTGCATTTCCCTGACTGTGATGTTGCACATCTTTTCATGTACATATTGGCCATTTATAGATATTTGGAAAATTGTTCATATCCTCTGTCCATTTTTAAATTGGATTGTTTGTATTTTGGTATTGAATTGTGTGTGGTATTTCTATTTTAGGTATTAACCTCTTATCACATCTATGATTTGTAAATAATTCTCCCATCAGGTGATTAACTTTTCAGTTTTGGATGATTTTCTTTGCAGAGGTTTTTAGTTTGCTGTAGTCCTTCTTGTTCTTGCTTTTTGTTGCATTTGCTTTTGGTGTCAAATTAAAAAAATCATTGCCAAGACTGATGTCAAGGAGCTTATTCCCTCTGTTTTCTTTTATGAGCCTTAAAATTGTTAGGTCTTAGGTTCAAGATTTTAATCCATTTTGAATTAATTTTTTATATGCTATAAGATAGTCTTGCTTCATTCCTTTGCATGTAAATATCTGATGTTTTCCCAATACCGTTTATTGAAGAGACTGTCCTTCTCCCAGTGAATATTCTTGATTTCTTTCTTGTAAATCAGTTGACCATACGTGTGTAGGTTTATTACTAGGCTCTGTTCTCTTTCATTGATCTATATCTGTTTTTTTGTGCTGTTTTAACTACTCTGTAGACATATATATGACAGACATATTGTGATATAGTTTGAAATAAGGAAGTGTGATGCCTCCCACTCTTTTCCAAGATTGCTTTGACTGAGGATGTTTGTGATTCCATAGGATTTTGAGGATTATGCTATTTCTGTGAAAAATGTTTAGCATTTGACAGGGATTGCATTGACTGTAGATTGCTTTGGGTTTTTTGGACATTTCAGCAATATTAATTTTTTTAATCTGTGAATAAGGAATATCAATTCACTTATCTGTACCTTTAATTTCTTTCATTAATATCTTACTGTTTTCAGTTTACAAGTTTTTTACCTCTTTGGTTAAATTTATTCCTTATGTGTATTTTTCAATATATTTTACAGTTTGCAATTGTAAATGGGATTGGTTTTTTATTTTCTCTCTCCGATGGTTTTGTTATTAGAGTATGGACATGTATCAGATTTTTGTGTCTTTTGTATCCTGCAACTTTACAGAATATATTTATTTGTTCTAGCAGGTGTTTGTGTATGTGGTCTTTAGGGTTTTCTATATATAATGTAATGTCATCTGCAAATAGTTAGTTTTTCTTCCTTTCTGATTTAGCTACCTTTATTTTTTTTACTTCATCTGAATGCTCTGGCTAAGCCTTCCAGTACTGTGTTGAATAAAAATGATGAGAATGAGGACATGATTTTAATAGGGAATAACACATTAAATCTGTGTCATAGAGAAAACACAGAGTAGTAGATTGGAGAGAGAAAAGCTGGGTTGGGAGATTGGAGTATTATAGGAGAGGAATAGTGGCTCACGCTGGGTAGTGAATGGCATTGATGATGGAGAGTAGCAGTGAATTAGGAGATACTCTGTATAAGAAGAATTGTTATGACTTTCATGGTTAATTGGATGTGAAGGTTGAGAAAGAAATTCAGGTATGACTCAGATCATGGTCTGGGCAGCTTGTTAGAGTGGTTCATCCCTGAAGAATTCTGGAGAAGCAGTATGGGAAGGGACCGGATGAATAGGGGGAAAGATGAGTTAAGGTTTGGGTTTTCTGAGTTAGAGAGTATTGGTGAGACAAGTGTGTTGAACAGTTGGATATGCAGATGTAACCTATTTATAAGTTTAGTACTTAAGGAAGAGATGTTTTCATTATTTATGTATCTATTTGCCCATCATCTGTCTTCTGTCTGTCCACTCACTCTTCCCTCCATCCATGTCATTCTTAAGATAGGTAGTACCTTTTAAGTTAAATCATGGAAGCAAAAAGGCAAAATTTTTAACAAACTCAGTAATTTTAAAAAAGTCAAAGTCAAAATTTAAAAAAAATAATTGTAAACATTGCTGAGAGAATAAGTAAGGTAAATCCTGAAAAGTAGCTTTTGGTGAGGGCAAAAGCCAGAATGCAAGTAATTGAGGCATGAATGGATGGTGAAGAATTAGAGAGCAGGAACAGAAAGTTAGAATGGTAGGTTTTTAATTTTGGGATTCTTTGAAATTGGGAAACCCTCAACTGTGTTATTGCTGAGATGAGAATATAGAAAGAATTCTGAGTACATTTGACAAGATGAACTCTAGAGCCCAGAGGAAGGGATCAGATCCAGGAGGAAGGACCTACAGCAGCTTCCATTGTGTTAGAGCAGGGGAAGGATATTAGGATATTAGGAAGATCCTTTTTGGTAGCTTCAGTTTTCATTGTGAAGTGGGAAGTGAGGCTCCCTTTTGAGTATAGGGCGTAGGCTATTTTGGCAGTTTGAGAAACATCAGAAGAGGGTATTTGAGATAGTTATGGAGACTGAGAGTGCTAGCAGGGAAGTCATAGTAACAGTGCCAGGACCTAGATAGGTTAATGACCAAGAATTTATGGTGGCATCAGTTGGCATTAATTTTAATTTTGGAGAGATGAAGATTTCTTTCTGGATAGTTGCTTATTCAGTATGTCAATAAATATCTTTAAATGTTGAAGAACCTCACCTTTTTACCCCCTCACAAAGCAGGCCCTGAAATTGGCAAAAATATAAAATAAATTTGAAACATTATTAAAAATTTTTTTTTGGGGGGGATTGACCTGTACACTTTGAATCTTTAGTGGCATTACCTAGCACTCTTTTTTAAAATAGGATTTTAGGGCTATAGACTTTTTACAGCCGGAAGAAAGAACTTTGGCAGTATTTTTGTTTGTTTCTGACCAGTGCTGTTTTTATTTTAAAGCAGGAGAGTGTTTGCTAGGTGAAATATTACAGGAATGATCCATCTATGAAACAGCTAAAAATGATGCTTCTTTTGATATGATCTGATAATTAAAAACCTAAATTCTGGACTTTCCGATTTTTCTGCTTCCTAGCTGTGTAGCTACTTAGCAGCAGTTTCCTCATGTGTAAAGTTGAAGTAACAACAGTATCTATATCATGCAGTGCTTAGGAGTGTTATATGTGGTAGCCTTTTCATAAGAACTGCGTGCACTGCTCTGTAAATATTACTTTGGTTAAAACAAAGCTCTTGACAGCCCTACTTACCTGATTTCTACTTTATGTTACATGGTGGTTCCTGAGCTGCCTTCTATGGAGCAGTCTTGAAAACCTCTGATTTAGTTCATCTCCCTCAGTTTACAGATGAGGAAACTGGGTTCTAGATTGAGGAATAACACTTTAATAGTCACAGACTTTTTCCTGCAATAGTCTGCTCACAACTATTACTGTGTAACAAGCCACAAAACCATATTTAGATCCTGAAGCTTCTCTTCAGGTGGCATCTCAGAACTAGAAGATAGAACATTGAGTTAGAAGGAAGCTTAGTATTGAAAAGCTATAAAGGAGTCAATTGATAAAGTAATGTACAGTGTCTTTGTGATGTTTGTAGTGCTTACTTAGTGAAGATCAGATAGATGGGCTGAATGGGTTTTATTTATTTATTTTTAATATTTTTAAAGATTTATTTTATTTATACAAGAGCTGGGGTACAGGCCAGAGGTGCGGGAGTGTGAGAGGACTCACCAGGGACAGAGTGGGGAACAGAACAGGCAGATTGATGAAATACACTGCTGAGGAGAGCAGCGGGCAAGACAGGAGAGGTCTGCTTGCCATGTGGGTTGCTCCGAGGCCGGCGGGGATTGAACCGGAGCTGCAGAGGCTGCAGACAGCTTCACAGCGCTGCGCTCAACAGCCTGTGCCACCAGGGAGGCCCTTAATGGGTTTTAAATATATTTTTGTTTTTTTTTTTTTTGCTTATAAATCTAATTTTGACCCCCCCCCCATTTTATTTTTTAAATCCATTTATTTATTTATTTTTGTGATATTTGCTTGCTTTTCTCAGGTGTAGTCCCCATGGAATTCCCACCATCAGTCCAGCCGTGCACGATCACCATAGTCTCTTGTGCTCTTCCCGCCCTCATTTTGATCCCTCTCCCCTTCCCTTGCAGAATGATTTGGATTTATTGTTGTCTGTTTATTTTTGTTTTGCTTTCTTGTTGTTATTATTTTTTCCTTCATCCCCTATATTCCTCATATAAGTGAACCCATGCAGTATTTTTCTTTTTCCTTCTGACTTTTTCACTGAGCATAATTCCTTCAGGCTCCATTCATGTTGCTGCAAATGGCATGAGTTTATTTTTTTCTGATTGCTGAATAGTATTCCATTGTGTATATGTACCACATCTTCTTGATCCAATCATCTATATTTGGGCATTTGGGTTGATTCCAAGTCTTACCTATTATAAACAGTGCTGCTGTAAACATAGGGATGCATGTATTCTTTTTCTTTTTTTAAAGATTTATTTATTTATTTATTTATACAAGCACTGGGTACAGTCAGAAGCACGGGAGGGTGAGAGAATTCACCAGAGCCAGAGCAGGGAACAGAACAGGCAGACTGATGAAATACACTGCTGAGGGGAGCAGTGGGCAGCAGGAGAGGTCTGTGCGCCATGTGGGACCCTCGCCCGGTGGCCGGGGATCGAACCGGCGCTGCAGAGGCTACAGGAATCTGCAACCCAGCGCTCAACCTCTGCGCCACCAGGGGAGACCTGGGATGCATGTATTCTTTTGAATTAATGTTTTTGGTCCTTTGGGTAGATTCTTAGAAGTGGAACTACCAGGTCATATAGTAGCTCCAGTTTTAGTAGATTGAGGAACCTCCATACAGCTTTTCACAGTGACTGGACCAGTTTGCACTCCCACCAGCAGTGTAAGAGGGTTCCCTTTTCACCACATCCTTGCCAACATCTGTAGTTGCTATTTTTTTTCTTTTTAATATGTGCCATTCTTACTGGTGTAAGGTGGTATCTCATTGTAGTTTTAATTTGCATATCTGTGATTATGAGGGATATTGAACATTTTTTCATATACCCATTGGCCATTTGCATTTCCTCTTTGGAGAAGTGACTTTTAAGTTCTTCTGCCTGTTTTTTGACTGGATTGCTTACTTTATTTTTGTTCAGTCATGTGAGTTCTTTGTTATCAGTTGTATGGGTGAAAAATTTTTCTCCCAGTCAGTGGGGTGTCTTTTTGTTTTGGTTAATGTCTCTTTTCCTGTACAGAAGCTCTTTAATTTGATGTAGTCCCAGCTGTTTATCTTTGCCTTCACTATCACTGCGTTGGGTGATGTGTCTTTAAAGATGTTACTGAGGTGCATGTCATGTTTTGCTATATTTCCTTCTATATATTTTATGGTTTCAGGTCTTATGCCTAATTCTTTGATCCATTTTGAGTTGTTTTCTGTGCATGGTGTGAGGTAGTAGTGTAGCTTATTCTTTTGGATGTAGCAGTCCTGTTTTCCCAGCACCATTTATTGAACAAATTGTCTTTGTTCCATTGTGTATTTTTTGCTCCTTTATCAAAGATTACTTGCTCATCAATATGCGGGTTTATTTCTGGGTTTTCTATTTGATTCCATTGGTCTGTGTGTCTGTCTTTGTTCCAGTACCATGGAGTTTTAATTATTATGGCTTTGTAGTATAGCTTGAACCCCGGGATTGTATGTCTTTTTCTTGACTTATTGCTCTGGCTAGTACTTCTAGTACTATATTGAAAAGCAGTGGTGAGAATGGACATCCTTGTCTTGTTTCAGATCTTAAGGGAAAGGCTTTCAGCTTTTCACTGTTGAGAATGATACTGGCTATGGGCTTGTCATATATGGCCTTTATTATGTTAAGCTGTGTTCCATGTTCCTTCTATCCGAGGATTTTGAGGGCTTTACCCATAAACGGATGTTCAACTTTGTCGAATGCTTTCTCAGCATTTATTGATATGCTCATATGGTTTTTATTTTTCTTTTTGTCTGTGTTGGATTACATTAATTGTGTTTTGGAATTTTTTTCTTTTTTTAAAGATTTGTATTCGTTTATGCATACAAGACCTGGGATACAAACCAGAGGTGGGGGTGTGTGAGAAAGGATTCAACAGAGACAGAATGGGAAACAGAACAGATGGATTGACTGAAATACACTGCTGAGGGGAGCAGCGGGCAAGTCAGGAGAGATCTGCTGTGCCATGTGGGTAGCTCCCTGGTTGGGGATTGAACTCATGCTGCAGTGGCTGCAGATGGCTTCATAGGTTGTGTCTTAACCCTTTGCCCTACCAGGGTGGCCCACTGAACTTTCTTTTTAAAAGAATATACAACCCCCCATGAAAGTTGAAAAACCTTGATGATTCCCTAGAACCACCAATTAATCTTATGATAGAGATATAATTTACAGCAAATATGGGCCTTCTGCCATAGATTTTGGATTTATTCCTCAAATGGTAATGGAAATCTCATAATTTTTATGGTAAATGATATGTGAAACATACTAAAAAATAGGGTGCTTGATATATATTGGTAATAGTTTCTTAATGGCTATTCTTGTGAAATGTGATTTTAAAAATAAATTATGACATTGGGTCCTAATTACAAAGTTCTTTACCATACATTGTACTCTTCTGAATAAAAAAGAAAAAGCACCATGTAATTAATTCTACAGATGTACACTGGAAAACACAGGTTATATTTGACTCTGAAGATACAGAAATGAACAGGCATGGTATTTGCCTTTAAATTTCTTTCATTCTATCCCAAGAATTGTGAATTGTATATTGCTACAACTTTTTTGGAGAACAGTTTTTTTCACTCAGTATTGAAAGCCTTGAAAATATGCCTACTTTTATGCTCAACACTTCTACTTTTAGGAATTTGCCGTAAGAAAAAGAATTTTAAGTTGTGCATAAAGAGTTCTAACTTTAACAATGTCCCCTCATTGTTAAATTTTTTTGTTATAAAGAGGTAAAATTATATACAGATACTTGATTTGGTAACAGTCAATTTTGCCATTTAATTCTCAGTGCATCTTTTTCCTCATTGCTGTTTCCATAAGGATAGTTCTAATGTTTTCTTCTCGCATGCTTGTTAAAACCTTTGCTCATCTTTTCCCCTAAATTTCCTTTTTTTCTTCCTCTTGATTTTGAACTTAATTATCAGCAGCCTCCACCATTTTGAATCTTTTCCTTAATTGCAAAGCTGTTCTCTCATAATTGTATGTGAATGTATTTTATTTTCCTCAAAATCTTTTTTTTTTTTTTAAAGATTTATTTATTTATTTATACAAGCAGTGGGTACAGTCAGAAGCGGGGGAAGGTGAGAGAATTAACCAGAGACAGAGCCAGGAGCAGAACAGGCAGACTGACGAAGTACACTGTTGAGGGGAGCAGCTGGCATGGCAGGAGAAGTCTGTGCGCCCTGTGGGACCCTCATTGGTGGCCGGGGATTGAACCGGTGCTGCAGAGGCTGAGGGCAGCCAGCTTTGCAGCCAGCGCTCAACCACTGCGCCACTGGGGAGGCCCCTTTCCTCAAAATCTTTGAGCACAGGGATCGTTCTCATTCATCTTTGTGTTTGTGATGCTTGAAATTATACCAGGTGGGGTGTCCCTAATGGTGCAAGGGGGTAAGATGCAACCTATGAAGCTATCTACAGCCTCTGCAGCATGAGTTTGTTTGATCCCCAGCCAGGGAGCTACCCACATGGCGCAGCAGACCTCTCCTGTCTCCCTGCTGCTCCCCTCAGCAGTGTATTTCAGTCAGTCTGCCTGTTCTGTTCCCCACTCTGCCTCTGGTGAATCCTCTCACCCCCCACACCTCTGGCTTGTACCCCAGTTCTTGTATGCATAAATAAATAAATCTTTTTTTTTTTAAAAAAAAAGAAATTATGCAGGTGAGTGTGAACTATTGGTGTCTCTTGATAGTCTACAGGAGATACGGGTGGATTTGGGTTGGTTCCATGCTTCTAACTATAAGTTTCCTTTTTGAATTTGGCACCCCAGCAAAATTGTTAAGTAGTGTATATTAAAGACAGATTTACGTGATCAGTTATTTTGGTATTGAAATGCATTATGCCCAAAGCAATAGGAAACAACTTGAGTAACTGAATAACCAAATATTTCTATTAGTCCTATTACTATAATTGAATATATTAAATTGGTGGTAGTTTGATAGATGTTCTAAAGATTTCAAATTTAGCTATATTCAACAGTTTATCATTAAACATGAATTGCTGGGAAAGTTGTTTTGATAGGATTAATTTTTCCTGGCAGAACATTCACTTGAATTTTTAATTTTTATCAGGTAAAACTTAGTAATAGAATAATAGATACAAATAGCCCAGTTTTTGCTGTTGAGCAAGTATTTTATGAATGTATTTAAGGAATTAAATATTGTGTACAGTTTTCTTTAAAGCACATATGCTTAATGATTAAAGTAAAAAAAATCTATTTGTATAACAGCATTTTATTTCATTTTCTGTTTTTTTCTTTTTAGGCTTCATTGCTCCGATTTCAGAGTACATTGGTAATAGCTGAGCATGCAAATGATGCCCTAGCGCCCATTACATTAAATACCATCACTGCAGCCAAACGTCTTGGAGGTGAAGTGTCCTGCCTGGTAGCTGGAACCAAATGTGACAAGGTGAGAAAATTTTAAGGTCATCCAAAGCAAATATAATTTCCATCAAGAGACAGGGAAAGATGGTGACAGAGAATTATGCTGAGGACTGTAACCCAAACTGGGCTCTAATCCTCATTAAATGGCTGGTGTCACAACCTTTACCACATGTGAAAAAGGAACTAAAAGGTTTGCTTACTAGGTACTTTATCTTTTGAAATGAGGTAGAATTTTTGATTTAGTTCCACTGGCTCCCTTGTGCCACCAGGTACCCATAGAATGATAGAATTTGAGTTCCTTTAGAGGTTAATAGCTGATCCCTTTTTTTGTATTGATGAATATACTTGCTAATTGCTTTTAATTCCTGAAAGTGGTAAGTCTGGACAGAGAGTATCGTGGATGTTGGTACTAATTTTTAATTGGTATAAAAATTCAAATGTAAGTACTATACTTTCCAAACTATAGCTGGTACTAGAAGATGTTCTTGGCTTTGTTGTTGAAATGAGACAATGAGACAATGCCAACTTTGTAAACGAACCCCCTAGAAAGGTGCTATAACCTGGTTTGTTGGGTCTGTAGTGTAGTTGATATTGTGCTTCAATTAACGTATATATCTTGAACCACCAATTGCTTCTCACACCATTTGGGAGTTACCAAGACTGTATTTGGGGGCTTGGCTCTCAGAAAGAAATCTGGAGAGAAACTCTTTTTAGGGGGTTTGTTTTTTTATTAAATGGCATCAGTGCAGAGTGTTTTGGTAGACTGCAGCTTCAGAATACTATGTCACTTATGTATCACTTATGTATCATGGGTAAAAAATAAAAAAGTATTCCAGCAGTTTTAGAGTTTGTTAGGTTATACAGATTTCTTTACATAAATCATGGTAACAATTATTGAATCTTACATAGTTGATATTAACTGCAGTGTGTGTGATATGGTTACGATATCTTTTTTTTTTTTTTTGCCTTGCCTTCAGATATGCAAGTTACAGGTTTATTTTATTGTGACTTTAAATAATTTTTTCTAATACTACTTTAAAAATAATTTGAAATGGCATTGTATTTACACTGCTGTGGGAAAATCAAAGCAGAAATTTTCTTCTCTAGTTACAATCTTACTATCATGTGACATTCTAATCTTAAAGAAAAACAACCAATACTTGTGTAAAGAAACTCTGTAAATAGCTTAGACAAATTACAGTTTTTTTTGCAGTTTTCTGTAGCTATTTATCCATAAGCTGCAAATGATTCTTCTGTGTAATGCCAGAAGTCTTTGCCAATAAAAAGAAATCATTTTGATAGTACTTGCTCTGGTGAATGCTTGGCTCAGCAGAGAGAATTTTGCACTGCATCCTTTCTTCAGTGAATGTTGTTGCAACCTCACTATTCAGTGAGGGGTGACAAGAGCACAGCCTTTTATGTCTACTCATCAGTGAATCAGCATGGAGTCAAACAAGACAGAAAAACTTAATGATTGCCATGTCTCTGCTAAAGCAGAAACTAGTCAAGCAGTAATTAAAGAGATTTAAAAGGGGGATTTCTAATTGCCTTGTGTGTGCAGAAAATTTGAGTGGTCAAAAAACTTTCCTAGAACCCTACCCTGATTCCAAATAGGGAGAACGAAGAACTGAAATAAAAAATGTTTTGCTTCATCATAGATAAGTATATGTACATAGACAGAGATCAGTGGTTAACCAGGGACTGTTATATAAGACTTTATTGCTCATGTTCACTAATTTTAGTATCAACAGAAATTAATATTGCCAAATAAAGCACTGTGTCCTGTGAATCAGTTGTGGTTAAGTCCTGTTTTGTTTTTTTAATCTCTAGTAAACTGTAAGTCTGAAACTCTGTTATTGACTCTGTTATTGTGAATAAGATTAAGAGAACCTAACCCTTGCCTCATTTCACCATTTCTAAAAGTGATGAACTTATATTTGCACTAAGCCAAAAATTATGAATACAATTTACAAATAAATTTGAATAGAGAGACATGTTGACTTTGGTTTATCAATTAGTGCTTTTCTTTTTTGTGGTGGAAGTTTTGTTGAAAATCTTCTGTATAATAGGCCATATAAGGTTAATTTGTAGTATGATAAATTGGTATAAGCTATTTTTAAAGACTATTTTGTATTCCTGAATAGCCCTTTTTCCTAATAAGAATTATATTTGTAGTTGGCCATTAATATTTTATGCTCTGTTGATATTGTAGGGGCTCTAATTGTATCTTTCTCTACCATGGATAAAACACTTCTAATCATAGGTGGCACAAGATCTCTGCAAAGTAGCGGGTGTAGCAAAAGTTCTGGTGGCTCAGCATGATGCGTACAAAGGCCTCCTTCCAGGTAAGGTTTTCTGGGGGGAAACTGTAATGTCTAAATTATGCTTGAGTATGTGAATGTGAAGTTATTATGAAATGTGTTTATGAAATGTGTTTAATTCTCAGAGGAACTGACGCCATTGATTTTGGAAACTCAGAAGCAATTCAATTACACACACATCTGTGCTGGAGCATCTGCTTTTGGAAAGGTGAGAAGATTGAGAATGTGGACTCTGATGTCATTATTCAGAAGGGTTAGATTTCATTGTGCTGAAAGTATAAAGCAGACTTTGTTTAAATAGCTAATCCTGGCTTTCTGAATTAATGCGTTATTTTGCTAAAATTTATTTTTTCAAGATTTTGTTACAATTTCTGTTAAAATGTCATCCCTAGGTTTTCAGATTTGCTTATAGAGAGAACAGAAAGAGTTCTGTTCTTTACAGATTTTTGTCATAATTTATTGGAAAGCTAATACCTCATTTTGTCATAAAGAAAATTATTTTTTCAAAATTTTCTTTCTTTAAAAGCATTGTTAAGCTGTCTGTCCTTGAGTGTTTGTATGTGTGTGAATATCATTTGTACTACTAGCCCATCTCAAAAGATGGTTTTTGGGGTGGCTGATGGGTATGTAAAAAGGCGAATTCTTCCTACTTAGAAACTGTGGTGTGGTTGGGGGCATCCCACGGGTGAAAAAAAAAAAGCTGTAATCCAATCATGTGCATTGTGATATGTCTGAAGACAGCATGTGCTGTCAGAGGGGAGTGGTCTGCATGAATTTTTTTTTTTAAACATGGTGAATGTAGAGGGAGCCTAAGAGTAGGAATTTGTCAGTCTGTCTTACTTTCTAGCTCTTGTTTCTTTTATCCCATTCTTAATAAGCTACAGTTATGGTTTCTTTTAACAATTGTAAATTAAATTGTACATAAATACATTCTCTTTTTAAAGGATGCATATAGAAAAACAGCATGCAGAACAAGATACCAAATTCTCCCTGTCCTTTTGTAAATTACCTCTTCTGAGAGAGATAACATGCGTTTTCTTTTAGGCTTGTTTCAGTTTTCAAATTATGATACATTTACAAATGTTTTTAAACTCTAGAGTAGTATTCAGCAAGTCTGTGTAGACCTCCTGTGGTTTATTTTTAACTCTTTGAATCATCAGTTTGAACTTAATAATTTCTTTCTGTCTTTCTTTTTTTTAAATATTTATTTATTTATTTATACAAGCACTGGGTACAGTCAGAAGCGTGGGAGGGTGAGAGAATTCACCAGAGCCAGTGCGGGGAGCAGAACAGGCAGACTGACGAAGAAATACAATGCTGAGGGGAGCAGCGGGCACAGCAGGAGAGGTCTGCGTGCCTTGCGGGACCCTGCAGAGGCTGTGGGCAGCTTCGCAGCCCAACACTCAACCGCTGCACCACCAGGGGAGGCCCAGTAATTTCTTTCTTTTAAGCTTAATAGAATCACTAGCAATGGTTCCATTTTCAATCTATAATGTAAATGTAGGTTTATTTATTTTTTAAAATTTATTTATTTATGCATACAAGAGCTGGGGTGCAGGCCAGCTGGTGTGGGGGGTGTGTGTGTGTGTGTGAGTGAGAGAGAGAGAGAGAGAGAGAGAGAGAGGATTCACCAGAGACAGTGGGGAGCAGAACAGGCAGATCTACTGAAATACACTGCTGAGGGGAGCAGCGGGCAAGACAGGAGAGGTCTGCTGTGCCATGTGGGTAGCTCCCTGGCCGGAGATCAAACTCAGGCTGTGGTTGCTGCGGATGTCTTCATAGTTCTGACACTTAACCCCTTGCACCACCAGGGAGGCCCAAATGTAAATTTAAATGAAAGATCAAACCTGGAAAGAAGTGTCTTTAAGCACCTAGTAGATAATTTTCAAGATGATTAAAATAAAACAAGGGATAATGACAATACGAAAGAGAATAAATGCCAAGCACCTTAGAAAGTTCTAAAATAAAAGACATAAAAAAATCTACATAACAAAATTTATAGGATGGTTTGCTCCGCCAGATAAGAATATTCTATTAATATTTCCTGTACAGTTAAAGAATATGATTCAGGAAAAGAGTCATTTACTGAAGCTGACTTTAAATACTGACAAATATGGTTTGTTTTATAAATAGGTGTTTTCTAAACTAATTCACCAAGTTAGGATTGTGCTTAATGACATTTTAATTGTTTTCTCAGAGCCTTTATTTTCTGTGTGATCTTATTTTTTTTCTAATTGCGTACTTTTTAGTAGCTCTTCTGTTTTGGTTGAACTGTACTACACATATAGTGTAGGTAACAACTGAAAATTTGAAAATCTTTCCTCTTGAAAATAACACAAGCGGGAAATAGACTCAGGTTGTCAAAACTTGTTAGCACCAAAACTTGTTAGCTGTATATAGCCATTTATTAGATAAGGGGTAAGTACACAAGAGAAATAGAAGTCACAAAAATCTGCCCTGGGTTGCTTATAAATTTGGTTGAGGGTCATATAATATGTATATTAACAATTACTTTAAAACAAAATACATGCTAGTGCCAATTAAGTAGCTGATTGTACATATATGTGGGAGAATAAAAATAAAAGGGTAATTAGAGGATAATCCTGGGGAAATTCTTAGAAAAAAAGGATTTGGGGATGGATTGAGGAGAGGGACTTGAATATTGCTTAGGGAGAGTTTGCCCACTCAAGGGTACCAAGTTCAGAAGATACCACAGAGTAAACTGTAGAAAGCAGAGTAAAATTCACCATTTCTGTTGTGATAATATTTATTTAGATTCAGTAATTCACAACTGTCACAGTTAATTAGTGATGTTCGCTAACACAAATATGATTCAGCCTCTTGAATTAAGGTGATTTATTACTGTAAAACTCATAAAACTCATAGTTAGAGTAATGGTAGACTCTTAATCCCAAAGGCTATTCAGATGTGCTTGAAGATGTGATGTGTCTAAAGATGGATGTGAAATGTAAAATATTGGAATTGACATTTCTATGTAATGTACATTTAGGTGACATTATTGCTCATAGTTTATAACCATTTTCTTCTTTTGCTTTTAGAACCTTTTGCCGAGAATAGCAGCCAAACTTGATGTTGCCCCAATTTCTGACATCATTGCAATCAAGTCACCTGACACATTTGTGAGAACTATTTATGCAGGTGATTAGCCAAGGAAAATGATTAATCTACATAATACATTGTAGTAAAATTCTTAAAAAGTCATACTGTTGCTTTAAATGTTCCATCTTAAAGATTTCTAAGAAAAGTCTTGGTCTTAGCATTGCTGCTACCCAAAGACATGATTTTCTCCCTTTAAGATCCAGGACACAGTTGTTTACTGCTTGTTCATTTAGTTTATAGAGTGAGATTTTTCCAGTGATCAATGAAAATCAGATTCATTATTTAATGTATATATATGGTACCTGGAAAAATAAAACTTTCTATTTTTAAAAAATAGTATTCCTGATCTTCTTTGCTTCTCTTATTCCATCTGCATTAAGAGGTTCACTTCACTGTCTCTGTAGTTGATTGATGTTTTGTTAGGTATGCTGGTCGCTGGTGGGTCTGGAGAAGGCCGTGAATGCTTTCTTCTTGCTGGCTCATGTTGTGTTTCAATATAATAGTCAGACCTTTCATCTTTCATAGTCTTTGAGGGAAATAGTTGGCCAGAATTTAGGTCACTCTTAATGTGATTGTTAATCCATAAAAATGAGAGACTCTAAGATCTTGGCACACCGCATTTCTTTTTCTTTGTGCCTATCATGTTTTCACTTACTGTCTTCTTGTCACACACATAGCAGCTTCATTCTTAAATTGTTGCAGCTCTTGTTACTATGTTACTGCTTGTTTTGTTTTGTAGAGGAAACTTTTGTTTATATTCCTTCTTGGAAGAATGTACCTATTCTAGTTTCTTACTTCCAGGTCGGTCAGTGCCTGTCCTATTTTTAAAGACATCCAGGGTTATACAAATATTCATTGATTTGTTTCTTCAGTCTTACTTTTGTTTCCTGTAGTTAGTAGAGGAAGAAAATAAGGTCTACAGTTATTTCTTCTTTGTCTTTGCGAAGTAAATTCTGAAACTCAAGGAATTTATTGTCTTTCTTGAATTTTTTTTTAAATCATGTATTTCAGGAAATGCTTTATGTACAGTGAAGTGTGATGAGAAAGTTAAGGTGTTTTCTGTCCGAGGAACATCTTTTGAAGCTGCAGCAACAAGTGGTGGTAGTGCCAGCTCAGAAAAAGGTGAGTATTAATTCGGCGTTTGTGTTTGCTTAATTTTGTTTCTTTTTTTAGTTCACATATTATATTAGAATAAGAGAGCCTCTAGTTAGATTTCAAATGTATAGTATTTGAGAACCTCAATCTAAATGATATTCTCAAGCTTATACAAAAATATGATATGTTCATAGCATTTCTTTTTCATATATATATATTTTGGTATTAGCATAGTTGCTTGGGTAGGTCAAATAGTTGGAAAAGAGTTTGTTAAAATCTATTTTCTTGATATTAAGGTTTTTTCCCCCCTCTCCTCTCACTATTTTCTATAATTCTGTTGAGATTTAATATAATAAAGAAATGTGGTAATAGTTAATGTATAGTGGGTGTTACACTTAACATATCAGTAGCTTATTTGAACCCCATGTAGAGAACGTTATTCCAGTTTTACAGATCGACTCATTTAAATGGCTTCTTAAAAGTAATATAACTGATGGGGCAAGGCTGATGTTTAGGCTGTTTAAATCTTTTTAAAATCAGAATGTGATTAGGAGTATAAAAAATGTACGATAACTACTAAATTTAAATTTCATGGACTTGTCTATTTCTCTTAAAAATTATCATTAAATAATCTGAACTCATAGTCATTGCTTTGTTATATTTTTATCAACACATGCAGCATCAAGTATTTCCCCAGCGGGGATATCAGAGTGGCTTGACCAGAAATTAACAAAAAGTGATCGGCCAGAGCTAACTGGTGCCAAAGTAGTGGTATCTGGTGGTAAGTGGAATATTGTCATTTATTCATTTTTAAAAGATGTAAACAAAATCATTTGATTTTTCTAGTGTTTATTTTAGAAGAGCAAATATTGTTTCTTCAAATTTAAGAAATAGGTAAGTTGCTAGTATTCTTATTGTACTGATTATGAAATTTTTATGAAATTATGAGCTTAATACATGCTTGAGTTGCAAATCTGTGTCATGGGCACCAGGGGGAGCATGCTACAGATCTCCATAACTTTGCAGCTTGGTATCTTTGCCTTATTGATAGACTTGTTATTCTGAAGAGTGTGTTTGGATTCTAAATCAAAGAAAGAACTGGTTGGAATCTCAAAACTATGTTCTGTGATTCCCATCCTTCACTTTACTCTGAAAGGCTTTCCAGAATTTTCTTGGTCTCGGTGGATAATTCTTTGAAAGTTTCTTCACTTTGAAATATCGACATTGTTAATACTGTAGGAGACTTGCTTCTTTTTGTATGGCATGCTCCTTAGTAAAAACAAAAACTTTTTATAGTTTAAAGTGTAGTGGAATGACTTTCCTTCAAATGATAGCTTCATTTGGTGAAGTTTTGGTAAATACCGTGGATATAGCAGTGCACATGATAAATATAAATTCTGTAGTTTTTGTTTTTGTTCTAGTGGTGAAAAGTTATAGACTAATTATATGATTAGTTACCATAGTTAGAACAGAGTTGAATGCTGTGTCACAAGAAAAGTCAGGAAGTCTTTTTAGAGGAGGTGGCATGCTTAATGTGGCAGTCATATAAAAGGAGAATTCATTCAGATATATAAAACTGCAGCATTTTTATAGAATGGTGTTAATATTTGCTTACTTTTTTTTTCAATTTTTTTTTTTCATGAGGTCGGGGTTTGAAGAGCGGAGAGAATTTTAAGTTGTTATATGACTTGGCAGATCAGCTACATGCTGCAGGTAAAGTTCTTTTCTGTATTAGAAAAATGTTTCCTTTCCATTAAAAATATTTTTTTAAAAAAAGTATTTAAAAAAGTATATAAAAAATATATCACACTCAAAGATGCAAATTATTTTGCTTCCTCTGATTTTTGCCCTTTCTCTGAAGTGATTTTTCTCAAGCATCCAAGTAAAGTCCTCTTTTTTTTTTTTTACCATTAAGGTGACATCTTACAAAAATTGCCAAATCTTACAGTTATTTCCATTAAAAAATAAGTTTGAGGGCCTCCCTGGTAGCGCAAGGGGTTAAACACCACACTATGAAGCTATCACAGTCTCTGCAGCACAAGTTTGATCCCTGGCTGGCCAGAGAGCAACCCACATAGTAAAGCAGAGCTTTCCTGTCTTGCCCATCTGCTTCCCTCATCAGTGTCTTTCAGTCAGTCTGCCTGTTCTGCTCCCCACTCTGTCTCTGGTGAATCCTCTCTCACACACACACACCCCCAACCACTGCCCCCCCACATCTGTGGCCTGTACCCTGGCTCTTGTATGCATAAATAAATAAATCTTTAAAAAAAAAAAAGTTTAAATGTCAGCTTCAGTGCCTATTTCAGATTTAGAAATGCTTTTCATTTTCTCTTTATTAATGGTATAATTTAACCTCATTTAAATAGAAGTATATTAGACATTTTAAAATTTTAGTTAACAATTTATAGGAAAGATAAAACTTACTGTTAAAAGTGTATTGAGGAGAATGTATTGATGTCTTTAAAAATCAGAAAATTTAAAATATTTTTGTTTTTATTTATTTAAGATTTATTTATTTATTTATACAAGCACTGGGTACAGTCAGAAGCGCGGGAGGGTGAGAGAATTCACCAGAACAGGCAGACTGACAAAGTACACTGCTCGGGGGAGCAGTGGGCGGCAGGAGAGGTCAATGTGCCATGTGGGACCCTTGCTGGCTGCCGGGGAACTAACCGGTACTGTAGAAGCTGCGGGCAGCTTCACAGCCTCAACTGCTCAACTGCTGCGTCACCGGGGAGGCCCTATTTTTGTTTTTAAATTATTGTATTATTTTAATTGGGGTAACAGTGGTTTCTGACACTATCATTTGGGCGTGTAGATTCCCATCTCTTCAGATATGTTACAACGCCCCTATCACCAAAGCATCTGTAGTCCTCCACCACCGCAGTGTTTGGGTGGTACAGCTCTCATTTGCCATAATCCTCTACCATATTCCACTAGGTCCTTTCCACCCTTGCATCCCTCCTTCCACCATACCCCTTCCGTAGCATTGGTTCTGCAATCAGATTTCTAGCGTTTGTTTTGGCTTAGTTCTGTTTCTTTGTTTCTCTGTATTGCACATAGAGTGAAAAAGTATTTGTTTTTAATTACATCACTAGCATGTAAATATTGTTCTCTTAGCAAAAAAGCTTCAATTCTGTCCTCTCCCTAAGTTTTGTGTATAACTTTCTAGGCTTTTCTTATTGCTTTTATTTTATGTAATATATATATATATCATATAATGTGTAGAAAACAGTGATGGACCAGTCTGAATAAAGGTGTGATATTAACTCCTTTTTTATTCATTCTTTCATTGAACAAATACTTATTGAGTGTTTAGGATAAAAGAAGCAAAAATCTGCTCTTGTTGTGGTTAAATTTCTATTTGCACGAGACTAGACTTTGCATTAGTTTCCTGTGGCTACTTAGATTACTTAAAATACTTAGTGATTTATAGTGACAGAAAATTTTTCATTCACAGTTGTGCGTGCCAGAAGTATGTTGAAATCAAAGTGTTGACTGGACCACACTCCCTTTGGAGTGTTTACAACCATTCTTTTCCTCTTTCAGTTGGTATTCCTGGACTTGTGGCTATATTACTCCAATCTCTGCTTTTATATACCTTTTCCTCTGTGTCTCTTTACTAAATCTTACTCTTCATCTCTTTTATAAGGATATATGTGATGACATTTCAGGCCCGCCTACGTTGTCTAGGATGAGCATTTTCTCACAAGATCCTTAACTTTATTTCATTCCTGCTCCTTTTATAGGTAATGTTCACATATTATGGAGATTAAAAACTGAATATATCTTTGAAGGAGCGATTTTTCTGCCTATCATTGACACTAAATGTAATAGAATAGAAAATTAGAAAAACAAAAATAATGGAGGAGGAATAGTGTTGGAAAGGAAGGGTTGCAGTTTTAAATAAGATGGTCAGAGTAGGCCTTACTGAGAAGAGACATCTGAAGAAAGGTTTGAAGGAGGTGAGGAAGCAAACCATGTGAAGATTTGAGAGAGAGCATTTTAGGCAGAGTAACCAGTAAAGTGCAAAGGGCATGGCTAGAGCAGTCGTATGTTTGGTCTGTATGATGAATAGGTTAGTGTAGCTGGAATGAAAAGTGCAAAGAAGGGAGAGTAGTAAGAGAGGTGATTGGGAGTAATAGGGAGATCAGATTATGTAGGTCTTTGTAAGGAGATTGCTTTTCTTTGGATGAAATGGGGAAATCATTGAAAGGTTTGAGCAGAAGAGTCACATGATCTGACACATACTAAAATGATCACTTTGGTTGGAATTTTGAAAATGGACTGTAGGGATATAAGTGCAGCAACTGTGGCCTCAGTTAGCAAAGTATCTTAGTCCTTCAGGTGAGGGATGCTGGTGGTTTGGACCAGTGAAGTAGCAGTAGGTATAGGGAGAAACAGTCAATTTTGAAATATATATTTGAAGGTAGAGCCATTGGGATTTCCTGATAGATTGAATATGAATTATGAGAAAGTTTTTATCTGACAATGGTAGGATAGAGTTGTCATTAATGGAGCTGGGAAAGACCTCAAGTGGCACAGTTTCCAGGGAGAGATCAAGAGTCCAGTTTTGGCTGTATAATGTTTTGAGATATCTAATAATAGATGTCCTAGTAGGACTGTAAAGGAGGAAGGAACTTCTTTCCGAGAAGGCAATGAGTAGTCCCACTTCCTCGGCCCAATGGTTTGAAGATGGTAGTGGACAGAGTGACTTCTGCTGGAGAGGGTTGCAGGGAAATAGGTAGAATATATCAAGAATTGTGGTTCACTGATATTGGGCTTTGTTGTCCCGAAATGACAGTATAAGATTTCAGGAACTGCACAAGGGTGGGAGATTGGTGCAGATTAGTAAACATGCAGGGCATTAAGGGGATCAGGGTATGGGTTATGAAGGATAATCTTTGAGTTTGGTGCTTGTAGTGACTGACATAAGTAGTATAGATGTAGTACTACAGAAGTAGTTTCTCCCTATACCTACCTCCAAGGTGGGTAGCAGTGGTGACACCGTATTGGGAGGTGGTGAGGAGTATTGTCTATGCTTTCCTCTGTCTTTTCCAGATGGAGATGATCTGAAGCTTATTTTTAATCCGGTGGCTTTATTCTCTTGCTGAATGAGAATAGAAAGCCAGTTAAATTTGTTTTTAGATAGCAGTGCTGGTCAAACCTTTCTTCTTGATGTGGTCACAAGAAGTAATATTATAGTTCCTTTCTTTAGAAGTTGTAAAGTTATTTCATAAAGGATCGTTATATAATGATATCTCAAACAACTTATAAGGTATGTTTTATGAACGCCTGATTGCCTTTTTGCTTTCCAGAAAGCAACCACAAAGGAATTAAGCTAAATTTAAAATATATTAAATCCTGGGCTTCCCCGGTGGTGCAGCGGTTGAGCGCTGGGTTGTGAAGCTGCCTGCGGCCTCTGCGGCGCCGGTTCAATCCCCGGCTGCTCCCCAGCCACCGGAGGAGGGTCCCACATGGTGCGCAGACCTCTCCTGCCGCCCGCTGCTCCCCTCAGCAGTGTACTTCGGTCCTTCTGCCTGCTCTGTTCCCCGCTCTGGCTCTGGTGAATTCTCTCACCCTCCCGCGCTTCTGACTGTACCCAGTGCTTGTATAAACAAACAAATAAATAATAAATAAATAAATAAATAAATAACTAAAACATGCCTCTATTAAAAAAAATATATATATTAAATCCTTAGGTATAAATAAATAGAAGACATTTCTCGAAGTAAAGCTTTATGTATAAAATATAGTACTTAATATTTAGGATTCTTGATCATTGCCAAGGAGATTTTTTTTAAAGATAAGGCCTTTATAAATTAGATCTCAAACTTTGCTTTACCTGTGTCTTTTTTTACAATTATCAGTGAATATTCCAACTAGCTAACTAATAGTTTTTTAAAAATGACAAATATTTTTTTCCCCTTAGTTGGTGCTTCCCGGGCTGCAGTTGATGCTGGCTTTGTTCCCAATGATATGCAAGTTGGACAGACAGGAAAAATTGTAGCACCAGTAAGTATTGCAATATAATATGCCATGTAGAATTCTGTGGGGATTAAGAACTATATATATTTGCTGCACAGTAATGTCAGTGATTTATCTTCTATTCACTGTACCTAAGCAGTGAGCCATTACCATGGTGAATGTGTCCCTCTCACAAGGTCTGTGTATTCCTTGTCTCAGTAAAATGCTTAGCAGTTCTTAAATCCAGCATTGTTTCTCAGAAATTTTAAAAGTGAAATGCTTTGCCAAATTCATTTCACAGCACCAAATATAAAATTGATAAAAGCAGCATTTTATTATTAAATAGATTTTAAGTTCACATTACCATTTGTTTACCAGAACACCTTTATTACAAAACCAGTCTGTAAGAACAGTGACTCTGTATTAACATAGAGTCTTAAAATTGGGAATGATGAATGACAATTGTGATCATATTTTCCTAGTTTATATGTGTATTTTGTCTAGTTGCTTAAAATTCAGAAGCTTCTGATCCATATGAGTAAGAAATACTAGAATATTCTTGTTAAATCTCTCCAAAATTTTAAAAAGGAATAGTTTGCTCTCAAGGTTGAATCACTAACAATAGTGATTTTCATCAGTAAGGTTCTCAGTCAGTTGAGATTTATTGTGTGGAAGAAAATGCATTTTTAGTCTATTTCAAAAAAGATACAAAGTCATAGCCATTAAAAAAGCCATACCTTAGTATCTCCTGTTTATTCAAAATTTTATTCAATGTTTATTCAAAATGTTTATTCAAAATTTCAAAATAGTCAAATTTTTAAGATTTGTCTTTGAAATTTGTTTTGAAGTATATGTTTGAATCTTTTCCCATTTTAAAATTAACATCTTTTGTGGGAGTTCTTTTTATCACCTAATGACAAATTTCTTGTCAGACATGTGTAGTGCCTCCCACGCCCCATGCTTGGGCTTCTCTCTTTACTTTCTTTTGATGTTAATTTTTATAAGATCTAATGTGTTGGTCCTTCCTATTATGGTTATTTTTTTTCTTTTTGCTGTTACCCAGTTTATTTAAAGTAAGATAAGATCTCAAAACTCTAAAACATATACTGTCTTTAAATGAAAGCACAAACCATATGACTCTTAATTGTTTTGACTGAAAGGGAGCACTTCTTGCTTGTGAACTTATATTTATGTAATGGTTATATTTATTAAACCATAAACATGATACAAATAGCATTCTAAAAGTACAACTGAACACTAAACCTCTCATTGACTTAAGTTGGAGATGAATTTTGCTATTTATAAATCCATTCCCCTTTTTGCAGTTTCTTAATTATGGTATGTAAATATATGGGAGGTTTTCTGAAACTCATGAAAATTACTGATAGAACACTGCTTTATTTTATTTTTAATTTTAAAATGAGATAATTATATCATTCTCTAAAATGATAGCTTAATAAATCAATGTGAAACCAGTAAATAACTGAAATTGGTATCTTATTTTTTCTTCCCGCCATGTTGCTTTGTTTTTTTCTTTATTTTAACTTTAATTGAAGTAACATTGGATTGTAATATTATGTAAGTTTCAGATGTGCATTATTGAGAATCAACATTTGCTCATGTTAAAGAATAGCATGACAGGAAATAACCAATAATATCCTTAACTATATTAATAATAAATGTCACACAATCAGCTTTCTTCAACATTACTTAATGAATTTTTTTCATAAGGAATTTGAGTGTGTTAAATCATTTTATCCCCAGAGACTAACTTAGTAACCCTGTGTAAGGTTTGGACATCATCCCCAGATATTATTATAAAGGGCATCCTCGTACATAGCCATAATACAGCCTTTAAAATCAGGGTGTTAAGAGTGATACATTAATACTATCCCATCATCAGATCCCATTCAGATTTTGCCTCTTTTCCCAATAAAGTCTTTTATAGAAGTAAAAGGATCTAGTTTAGAATTACATGTTGTACGTTACTGTTACATGTCTTTCCATCTTAAACATTCAGTCTTCACTTGACTTTCAAGACGGAAACTTTTGAAGATTATAAGACAGTTTTTTTGTGGAATTCATTGTCCCTCATTTTGGGTTTTTCTGCTGTTTCCTCAGTCTTGGGAACCTCACAGAAGTGATACTATATCCTATCAGTTTGTATACAATTTCAGTTTATCTTATTACTAGTGATTTTCTCTTTGATCACTTGATTAAGGTGATTATCTGTCAAACATCTCTACTGCAAAGCTCCTTTTTCATAATAATGTTTATGAGGGGGCACTACAAAATGATGTCAATATTCTGATTCTTAATTTTTCAGTTTATTCATTTATTTGTATCAGTTTATGGTTCCTATTTTATCAGTGGGTAAACATTTGTTACTGATGTATAAATTTGCCTAAGAAAACTCCTTTGAAGTGGCTTTTCTGTGTTTTTGACATGCTTCAATCATTTCTTTCTGAAAGAACAAGATATTTCAGGTTCATTTTTTACTTTTCTTTTACCCCATTCTGGAATAAGTCCGTTTCTCCAAGGAGTCCTGGTTCCTTTTTTGTGAGGAATAGTGTTTAGGAGCCAACATCCAGTCTCAGCTGTATTTATTTGTTGTTGGGATGTTGCCACTTTCAGGACCTCTCAGATAAAATTAGGGCGTATATAGGCAGATACACATAACACACTTACTATGTATACACACACACACACAAATTACTGTGTCTTTCTTTATCAGTCATGAGTTCACATTGATACTGCCAATTCAGTCCAATACCAGTTCACTTGTTCAGTCCGAGATCAATTCTAGTTCTCTCCCTTTCCCTACCCCTACTGTGGGAAACCTGGAATCAGCCCATACCCTGCACAGATCCTCTCCTTGCCGCACTCAGACGTCAACCCACCCCGAGTAGTCCTGTGCAGATAACCTCCAGCCTTGCTTGGACTCTGACTCTGGGTCATTTCTTCCCAAAGTAGTACAGTTTTACATTCCCACCAACTGTGTATTGGGGTTGATCCTTATTTTTGACCGATGTTGGCCTTTTTTGTTATTGATTTGCTTGTCCTTTATTACTGAGTTATAGTACCTTTAAAGAAAATATTCTGCATAGTTTTTGTCAATGTTTTGCAAATATTTTCTCTCAGCATATAGCTTTTTGTTTTCAAATGGTGTCCCAGTTTGCTGAAAGTTTGTAAATGGTTGTTGAACTTTGTCAAACGTTTTTCTACGTGTATGGTTTTTCTCCCTTATTCTGATATTCTGTAATTTTCTTTACTGTTTAAAAATATCTTTGTCTAATTCGGGTACCAACAGTATGTTGACTTTAGAAAACGAGTGGAAAGATGTTCCTTCTAGGTCTGTTTTCTGAGTGAGTTTGTCTATGATTGGATTTTTTCCCCTAAATGTTTCGATTTCAGCAATGAATCCATCTGGACCTAGAGTTTTCTTTGTTGGCCTATTTGACAATTCAATTTCTTTAAAGATTTAGGGCTGTTTGATTTTCTATTTTGAGTCATTTTTGCTAAGTGGTATGTTTCAAGGAATTGGTTCAATTCTTTGAAGTTGCCATATTAAAGGAAGGACAAAGTTGTTTATAATATTGTCCTATTTTCCTTTTATTATCTATAGATCTTGAGTTTTTTTGAGTTTTATTGCCTGTACACTCCTTTTTTCACTTTTGCAGTTAGTAATTTGTATCTTCTCTTCACCAGTTTAGGAGTTAATAAAATTTTTAAAATGCTTTCAGTGATCCAACTTTTAAAAATTACATCTTTACTGAGTTATAATTCAGATACCATAGAATTTACCTAAGTAAATGTTCAATTCATTGACTTTCAGTATATCCATGGTGTTGTACAATCATCACATCCATCAATTTTAGAACATTTTCATCCCCCTTATAAAGAATTCCCATACCTCTTTCATTCCACATTTCCACCAACACGTGGCAACCACTGATCTGCTTTCTGCCTACCTAGATTGTCCTATTCCAGACATTTCATATAAATGGAATGACATAATATGTGGCCTTTTGTGACTCCAGAATGTTTTCAAAGTTCATCCATGTCATACTACTTTTTATTGCTAAATTCCATTATATGCATATATCATATTTTCTCTTTACATCAGTTTGATAGACATTTGGGTTGTTTATATTCTTTGGCTATTATGAGTAATGCTGATATGACCATTTATGGGCACATTTTAGTGTGGACATACATTTTCATTTTTCTTGGATATTTAAAATACCTCTTACTAGATTTGCAGGTTCATATGGCAGCTTCATGTCTAACTTTATGAGCAGCTACCAGATTGTTTTTTCTAAAACAATTTGGAAACACCAACAATGAATCAACTTACAGTTTATTTTTTTCATTGGTTGCCTCTTTTCTATTTTATTGTTTTGTTTTTTTTTTAAAGATTTATTTATTTATTTATACAAGCTCTGGGTACAGTCAGTAGCGCGGGAGGGGGAGAGAATTCACCAGAGCCAGGGTGGGGAGCAGAGCAGGCAGAAGGACCAAAGTACACTGCTAAGGGGAGCAGCGGGCGGCAGGGGAGGTCTGCGCGCCATGTGGGACCCTCCTCCCGTGGCCGGGGAGCAGCCGGGGATTGAACCAGCGCTGCAGAGGCTGCGGGCAGCTTCGCAACCCAGTGCTCAACTGCAGCGCCACCGGGGAGGCCCTCTATTTTATTGTTTTTTGCTCTTAATTTCCTTTCTAATAATTGCTTTGGGTTTATCGTTTTTAAAGTGGAACTTTACTAATTTTGTATTTTTCTTGTTTTCATATATAAATATTGAAAGTATAAATTTACCTCAGGATTGTTTTTGCTGCGTCCCACAAATTTTGATCTGTTGTATTTTTATCATTCATTTAGAGATATTCCAATTTAGAAAATTAGAAATGTTTAGTTTCTATATATTGGTGGTTTTTTTTATAGATAGCTTTCTATTATAGATTTCTCATTTAATTTTGGAGAACATTTAATAATTCTATCTTAAAATTTACTTTTTGGCATTGGGTTCTATGAATGTTAAGTCAACGGGCCA